TGGACCGGAATGACATTATTAAAGCGGAATAATGTCTAATTGAACAATTATTCCTCGTCCTTTTTTTTGTTTCTAGCTCATCCTAAAAAAGTCGCCTTCAAGGACATTTAGATCCTGACTCGGCCTTTACATGCGCGAAAGCGAGGCGATCGTTTGACTCGCCTAATCGGTACAATCGAATATATTTATAATTATATTTATATTTATATTTATATATCGGCAAAGGTCAGGAGTCGAGAGACACACCGAAAAAACTGTAAAAATAAAGTCTACGATTCGATTACTTATTCTCTCCGCGTATCCTAGTCTGGACATCTACTAAGGGACGTATATCTTTCTTGTTTCATTAATCTCTCCCTCGCACATCTCGCGTGGCGTTTAAGCTAGATCGGTTAGTTCAATATGTACTTATTACCTCTTTACAAAAATCAATTCTTAAACTTATGAGTGAGTGTGTGTGCTCACGTGTGGTGTGTACAATGGGGGACATGAATGCCTCCCCTGCAGGTACGACATCGCCTGTGCAGGATGGGAGGGCATTGATGTCTCCCTGTGTACATTGTGGACATGAATGCCTCCCCTGCAGGTACGACATCGCCTGTGCAGGATGGGAGGGCATTGAAGTCTCCCAGTGTACGTGGGGTATGTGGGGACGACCCGAGGCCAGCTCGCAATTTTCCGGAAGGCTCTCAAAGATTCGACCATTTCGCCTTATCGAACCAACGTGCCCCCGACCTCTAATACTGATTACCACCGAATCCTCTCAGGTACGAGAGAAATCCGCCGAAGAGTTCAGACCCGCTTTGAGTTCCTCCTCGAAATCGAAATTAAATCTGGGAAATCGTCCGAAAGCACATTCGAGCTCTGAAGCTGGACTTAATTACGTTTCCTCACTGGCTTTAATAACTTTTCTGGATTACCCTCCATCATCCTCTTCCTCTAATTATTATCACTAATTTCTCTACGTTTCCGTGGAAACTTTCGACGACGGGCTGGAATTCCAGCAGGACATTAGAAAGAAGAGATCCTTACATCCCGCCGTTTTAATCTAGCTGTAAAATCCCCATAAAATGAATTCAGGGCATTTGAAATTAATTTCAAATGTTCCAATTTACTTGTAGCTGTTTATGTACTTAATTAACATAAAATTCTTCAATGGGAGGATTGGTATTTAAATGACCAATTATTTAAAAAACCAATTTTGCGTATTTACGTTAACGCGTAGACGGATCCTTGGATCAAAATTTGCATAAAATATTATTAAAATTAATTTCAAATATTCCTATTAACTTGTAGCTGTCTATATACTTAATTAACATAAAATCCTTCAACGGGGGGACTGGCATTTAAATGTAATTTATCAATTTTCCGTATTCACGTTAACGTGTAGACGGATCCTTGGATCGAAACGGATCCAAGGGCTCGAAATTTGCATAAAATATTATTAAAATTACCCCGCCCTTTAACATACATCCCGCTGAAAGTGCTAACCCCATCGCCAGCTCGATTCGTCGGAAGTACCGATGAAATGAAAATACCGCTTTTCACGTCGACGGCGACTCGTTCTTCCTCCTCGGAAAAGCGCGATAAAGATTGGCGCAACGCGCGGACGGTTAAGATAACGACGATAAGAAAATAATTTCCTGGAGCACGAAAAGGTCCGGCGAGATCCTCGCGGAAAAAGTGCGAGCCGAGGCCAAGTCCGGTTTCACATGCGACATGTCAATATTTTAATGGCTAAACGCTATACGTACATAATATATATATATATATATATATTCATGTATATATACGCATACCTGTATACATACACGCAAGCACGTACAAACATATGCGTATATATAATTAATTTAATATATATATAATTTATATTTATATATATCATTATCGTTAATGTATTGATGCTATCCTGCTGTATCTCGTCATAGTACACTCACGTGGTAATTGCTATCGTCTTAACATATCTAAAATAATATTTTTAACATTTAGCGGTACGTGTTACGGCGTGTAGGTGTGTACGCGTGTGTGTTCGACCGTGTATATATATATATATCGACGGACTCGCAACCTTCCACCGGAGTTGCGTCAGACGAGAATTGTCCATTGCGCCGAGAGCTTTGTCGTTTATTTAAATAAAACAGCCACGCCAACGTTTAGGAATCCGGCCCTCGGCTGCTGCGCCGCGTCCCAAAAAGCAATTCGTCCCTGAGGGTGCGTAGGGACGTCTTTTTTTCCCCAGGGTCACCATCGATAACGTCCTCCACTGGGGGAACACCGAGTCGCATTCGCCACCCTAGCTAAACCCAATAATTTATTAAAACATGGACGTATTGTAAACGTTATCGCAATGGATAACGCATTTTAAAAAGATGCAAGGGTCGCCATCTTCCCCTAGTAGCACAAAATATTTCTTATATTTTTCTATATATTTAACGAATATCCTACATTTTGTTAATATTTACCGGACATTTGAAATATTTGCCAAATGTTTACTTTAGATTATCACTATAATATTTATATAATATTAGCTCCGTGTGTTTTCATAATATTTTTCTACCAGATATACAAAATGATTCGTTTTATTTTGATTCAAGTATTTTTTAAATACTATCTGCCGAATATATTGTAAATGTTTTAAAAATATTTAAGATCAAAATCACAGGTTTTGCTCCCGTAATGAAATAGCGGAACGAAAATATTAGACAAATTTCTAAATAGTAATAGAAGTAAAAAATGTATTTTTATTATGTTAATAAGTTAAAACTATTTCTCTATCTGTTTATAAATTATTGAAAGTGTATATGTCATTGAGATTTTCAAGAAATATTTCAAATATCTTCGAATGAAATCTACAAGAAATGTTAAAAAATCTGTCGCTTGAGATATTTAGCAAAGATTAGAAAAGAAATATTTAGAAATTATTCTATGCTACTAGGGTCCTTGCGCTCCTACAGCTGCCTCTCGATATCGTCTCTCCACCGTGATTTTTAATTAAAATCATTCGACTCGATTTGAAGCAACCTCCCGCACCTATATGTGGAAAGGACCCAGAGGAAAACCCGGGTACCCTGGTTCACTAGGGCCCTTCTTACTGCCCCCTATCGCGCGCCGATTACGATATGATTGCGGTGCACCCCAGTGGGGAAAACGCTTTCAATGGAGCGTGAGAATGCTCGGTGAGACTCTTGAGTATGTGCTGAACGATTTAAAAAATTCATCGGACAGAGAATATTTATTGCATCGATATAGAACGGGACGCGTCGGAGTCGGTGCGACGCGTCGCATCGTCCGTGTCACTCGCATCCGTCCACTGAGCGGCTAGTCTCCGGATAATGTACAGGGTGCACGTATGCTCGACTGCCCTAGATGCACTCGAGTGCATCCAAAGAACGGCCGACATTTATTCGAATCCTCCTCTTCGTCCTTTAATTGCCGAAATTAGCCCGGACAAATTTGCGATACCTGGCGCAGAGCTTGTTGATAGATGACCATTGTTGGGGCACGTGGGAGCCCAAGTAGCGGCCATCTTTTTTTATACGCACTTAACGCAAATAATTCTTAGTTGCTGAATTAACATGGCTGCTGCGAAACTTTCCAAGGGTGATTTTCGATAGGGAATTAATCCTTAACGCTCTAAATGTGCCTCTCAAGCACCACCGATCCGACCGACTTGCAAGTCGAAGTAGGGCGAGAATAAGTTAGAGTTGCCGGTCGATATTCACAACTTAACGTAAATAATCCTTAATTGCTGAATTAACATGGCTGCTGAGAAACTTCCCAAGAGAAATGTTCGATAGGGAATTAAGCCTTAACGCTCCAAGTACTTTCAAGCACCACCGATGTGCGGCGTTCTACTCCAATTGTCCCTCTCAAGTACCACCGATGCGACCGGCTTGCAAGTCGAACAAAAAAAAAGAAGAATAATGACGAATGTACAATTTTAAATGAAACTTTGAAACCGATCATTTGACCAGCCCCGGTACGGTTAGTGGTACGGTTAACCCTTAACGCTCCAAGTACTTTCAAGCACCACCGATGTGCGGCGTTCTACTCCAAGTATGCCCCTCAAGTACCACCGATACGATCAGCTTGCAAATCAAACAAAAAAAAAGAGGAATAATGACGAATGTACCATATTAATTGAAACTTTGAAACCTATCATTTGTCCGGCCCTGGTACGGTTAGTGTTAATTCTTAACGCTCCAAGTACTTTCAAGCGCCACCGATGTGCGGCGTTCTACTCAAAGTGTGCCTCTCAAGCACCACTAATCCGATCGACTTGCACGTCGAAGTATGATCAGAATAAGTTGGACTTGCCGGTCGATATTCACAACTTAACGCAAATAATCCATAATTGCTGAATTAACATGGCTGCTGCGATACGGTTAGTGTTAATTCTTAACGCTCCAAGTACTTTCAAGCGCCACCGATGTGCGGCGTTCTACTCAAAGTGTGCCTCTCAAGCACCACTAATCCGATCGACTTGCACGTCGAAGTATGATCAGAATAAGTTGGACTTGCCGGTCGATATTCACAACTTAACGCAAATGATCCATAATTGCTGAATTAACATGGCTGCTGCGAAACTTTCCAAGGGAAATTTTGGATAAGGAATTAACCCTTAACGCTCCAAGTGTGCCTCTCAAGCACTGACACTTAAAAACTTGCAAGTCGAAGTATGACGAGAATAAGTTGGAGTTGCCGGTCGACATCCCCAATTAAAAATCAGAGTGTTAAGGGTTAATAAGTACAGAATCGAAGGAATGGTTGAAGCAACGGGGCGCGAGCAATGTCCATTTAATTGGGACCTTCCTCGAGGAGCCGGAGTCTCGGGATTGCGAATAAGTGTCGGGCAGATCCTTGGATCGTCCCAAAGGATAAGGATCCTCGGATCCTCGGACGATGTACGCGGCTCCGGAGACGAGAACGAAAGAGAACGCCTCTCCACGCGACCCTGGCCAAAGTGCGCGCCTCTACCATCTCGATCATATACAAATATATAAGCATTAAACGTGTAATATATTATCATCATGTATCATTAATAATATCCTAAGATAGTTATTGTATGAACGATCCTTTTGTTTAGAAAAGAAAAACGAAATTACTCATCCGTGCCCTGGTTAACGGCCGGCAAATATTCGACGCTAGGTAAGAGGTATCGCTGCCATTCGAAAGAACTCCTTTTCCTGGTTATCTGTTCCTCTTATTCGAGAGCCTCGGCGTGACTTCTTCCGATGGGACCCTAGGTCTCGGTTTCGTCGAGGTCGAACGAGGCTCCCGAACATTCTCCATGCTTCCGTCCCGACAACACCTCGAACAAAACGATGGGCTCAGTTTCCAGGTATTTGCGCTTGGAATGATACAAATGAATTCCCCTTCCGTCGTTCCGTTAACTTTAAATAGATTAGTGATTTAGTCTCTTAAGTATTAGGTTACTCTCTCTCGCCTAATTAGACGTTTAAGTACTGAAAGGTTACCGCGGAAACCAGGCAGTGGAGGAATCGAAATCCAAACCGAGGACGAAACGAAAGCTAGTGGTTGCATCGGGAATTCGGTATGCATCGACGGACGTTCTGTGATATCTTTAGAGTACCCTCGTCAATTAGCGAGGTATATCGGTAATAAATATCTCTCATCTGGTAATATCCTTTGTTACCTGCTGGAAGCTGCTACCGCATCTCACGAGACTAAGAAGTTAAGAAAGCTGCTCTGTCTCTAGAAGGGAAAAGGTGCCAGGAATCGAGAAGCTGCCGTCGAAGGACCCTAGGGAGTCCCCGGGTATTACCGGTTCTTCCTCGTTCAGCAGCTTCTCCTTCCGGTACCTTTGTCCCGAACTTAAGTACAACCGAAAGGGAACAAGAGAGGAGAAGAAATAAGACGTTACATCCACGATTTAACGGAGGAAACGATGCAAGGTCCTCCCAAAGACACGCGCTGCGATTCTCCCGTGTGGCACGTGGACTCCCTCTCTAAATTTACGACTTCGTATAATCAGTCATCCGATTCCTCTTCCCACGGTATAGATGGGGCGCGAAGGGAGAATCGGAAAAAGATATGACACACCGCCACGAATGTTCTCCTCCGAAGGTCACCCTATTTCGAAGTTCCGCTTCCTGGTGCCCTTAATACGGATCTTCGGGAACTCCCATTAACGAACCCTCGGTGACGGGCGAAGGTCCCGGATATCCGACCCTAGTGCGGGAATTTCACGCGATTGTTCCTCTTCGGAAGTACCTCTCCCCCGCCATCTCATTCTCGGATGCTAGCCGTCCGGTATTAACGAAACGCTGAGATTCTCGAAAGGAGTATCGGAGAAAAACAATGAGACCAGATTGTAAACTAAGGTTTACGACGCACGCCGGCCAAGTTATTCCTTGACCTCGAAGTATTTGTAGGTGGGGTTCTCGTAGCCATTTATCTGCATGTTGGCTACGTGTCGCTCTTCGGGGGTGGCCGCCTGGTCGACCTCGATGAAGCCCTGGAACAATTCCCAATTTTCAAATTCCTTCCTTTCCACCATTAAATATAATATACAGTCAAATCTGTTTTTGTGCGGTATTTTTTATGCGATTTTTTTTTTGCGGTATATTAATATCGGGGGTCATTAATAGGAATGTAACCGATAACACGTCCACGTTATCATCAGAAATCATTGCGCTGGCACATAACATCTGCGGAGAAGGTTTTGACACTTTTAGCGAGAATGATTTTATCGAAATGATTACCCACTTAACACCAAACATAACGGTTATGTAACTTAAAACTAACAAATAACATAACGTTTGTTACAAGGTAATAACCTAACAGTTATGTAACATGGAGCTAACAGGTTTCATAACATTTGTTTGTATCATATTTATATAAATGTAGCATAACATTGTTACTCTCATCTTGCATTATGTTATTGTCCTGATATTACATAATTTCATTGAATGTCTGATTTGTCATTTAATATNAGATAAAATTCAATAAGTCAGATAAAATTCAATAAGTCAGACAAAATTCAATAAGTCAGATAAAATTCAATAAGTCAGACAAAATTCAATAAGTCAGATAAAATTCAATACGTCATTCGTAAATTTAATATTATAATACATTCAAGTTTCTTTTGTTCGCGACAAGTCTTACTTCATTCAGGTACGTTCCTTAATCACGCGAGCAGTTGTACGAATATCCCATTTTGCAAATCTACTTGCAAAAACAATCGGGATTCTTCGAACAACTGTCCGACAAACTAGCCAAAATTCAAATTCTAACATTGATATAACGTGTTACATAACATGTTACCTTACCGAGTGGGAAATAATATCTAACATCTAACTTCCATGTTACTTTTATGCTGCATAACATCTTAGTTTCGAAAACGTAACATTTACCCAATAGTTACATAACAGTGTTCACTGGGGATGCATTGTTGTTAAAATTTACCTGGCTGTGAGGGCTCCTGGCACTGCGTCTTTTGAAGACCGCAACTCCCACGACCGCGGCTGCCATCAAAGCGATCCCAGCAAAAGCCAGCGTGAAGTAAACCGATCGGCTTTCCCTGTGATAGACCTCTCGTCTAACGGAGTAGCCCTGGGAATTCATTTACTCGATCATATCGCCATACATAAAGATATATAACAAATACCAGTCAAGTCCAGAATTAATTGACACGTATTACACTTAACTAGGATATCAAGATTAGTGATGGGAGTGATACGATGCTTATTGATAATATTGCAATAATTCAATTGTCTGGCATTAATTCCGAGGTATCGAAAATATATAAAAAATTAGACACTTGGCATCTATATTCGATATCGATGCCTTTTAGAGTGATACATAACAATACGGTTATAACTGATATCTGCAGGGTAGGCATTCATGTCCGCCATTGTACAATGCCGCCTTTTCGTAGCGTCGAAAAATTATTTCACCAAGCCAAGCCGTTCATGGAACTCTTCCCCGAACCGAATGTACACTAATCAAATAATTTACAATTAACTTGAATGATTATATCGGCAACTTATATCCCGACGTACACTGGGAGACATCAATGCCCTCCCATCCTGCACAGGCGATGCCGTATCTGCAAGGTAGGCATTCATGTCCGCCATTATACAATGCCGCCTTTCCGTAGCGTCGACAAATTATTTCACCAAGTCAAGCCGTTCATGGAACTCTTCCCCGAACCGAATGTACATTTATCTAATAATTTACAATTAACTTGAATAATTATATCGGCAACTTATATCCCGACGTACACTGGGAGACATCAATGCCCTCCCATCCTGCACAGGCGATGCCGTATCTGCAGGGTAGGCATTGATGTCCGCCACTGAACATGGATACGGGCACCGAAGATCGAGAAATCGGCGCAGTTGTTTTATCATTAAAGCCTGGTAATACCCGCGGATGTGTCGAGCTCCTCTCTCGCATCGATAATCGCGTCCGATACATAATCCCGGATTGCTCTGAAAACCTGAAACTTACCGGTTCCGCGTGCGACATATCATGAGTCATACTATGTGCCGCTCTAACTATTCCCTCGTTGTGCATCGCGGCTGCAGCTGCAGGCTGCTCCGATTGAGGTGGAACATCCTTTTTCTCCACAACAGGATTGCTATCCTCGTGTTGTTCCTGTTCCGTGCGCAGCTCCCCGCGTTCGGCTTTCCTCTGCTCCTTGCGCTCTCGTTCCAGCTGCTTCTGATGTTCCTTTTCTGCGAAGGAGAAATCCGCGGTCAAAACGCGAATCGACAGCCACGGGGCATTATTTTAGGGGTACCAAGCTACCTTGCTGCTTGCTAGCCACGTCAGCTTGGTACTTGTCGAGAATAGCAGCCTCGGCCTCGCGAGTCATCGCCAAGAGCAGACCAGGGGTCTCATCTTTGCTCCTCAACGCCAGCACGTAATCGTCCATAAGTCTGCCGATCTTGGCGCTCATTTCCGGGTACCTAGGCGCAAAACGTGACGACCAGGATTATCGTTTACGTCGACGGGGTTCCAGATGAGGGAGTAAACCCGGTACACCCAGGGGAAATTACCGCTCCAGCATCAGGAGGCTCTGGTTGGTGATTCGGTCGATCTCGGCCAAGTGCTCCAACGTCGCTGGCTTCTCTCGCTGTGCCTGTTCTAGGCTGCTGTCCAACAGATGCTTGTAATGTGCAATCGTGTGGTGTCGGTCCTTGTGGAGGGCCCTGAGCAGCTTCTGCAGGCACTTCTGAATGCGGTGCAACTGCGGGGCAACAATGAGATCGTTAGGCGCGCCCAGAACTTGCGAAATGTCCCGCTGATGGTTTCTTTGCTAGGATGGAACTCTTTCACCTACATTTGGCGGCGTCTCGTTCAAAGCGGCCGTATAGCACGACATGGCTTCCTCGTTCCTCTGCTTGACTGCTTCCTGTAGGAGAGAACAGATCACTCGTTACGGCTTTTTCCAAAGGGAACCACACGCAGAAAAATGATATTGTAGTCAGTACATATGCTCGCCGGTCAATGTATCGTTGCAACCTTAACAACAATTACTGTAGATGTAATTACAATTTTTTCGGCGATTGTAGTATCACTGCGGAATTCTTGTAAATAAATTTTTGTTGTATTTGCGTCTGACAGTGGTACGTGTATAATATTGGAAAGTATAAATTACACGTATAAAGGCACGGGTAAAAATGACCATTGCAGTTGTAAAATTTAAAAGCAAGAACTCCATTGAAAACCGTATAATATAACGTAGCACTAGTAATTTTTACAAACGTGAACGGTTGTTGTTCACATTGTGCGTTTAAGACATAAAACAATCGGGATTCATACAACGACTGCCCGACAAACTAGCCAAAATTTAATAAGTCAGACAAAATTAAATAAGTCAGACAAAATTCAATAAGTCAGATAAAATTCAATAAGTCAGACAAAATTCAATAAGTCAGACAAAATTCAATAAGTCATTCGTAAATTTAATATTATAATAAATTTAAGTTTCTTTTGGTCGCGACAAGTCTCACTTCATTCGGATACGTTCCTTAATCACGCGAGCAGTTGTACGAATATCCCATTTTGCAAATCTACTTGCAAAAACAATCGGGATTCGATACAACTGCTCGACAAACTAGCCGGGCAGAACAACCTACTTGGACTCGCTGCTGGTGCATCGCGCTCAGCTGGTGCTTCTCGGCCGCTCCGCTGGCCTCCAGGGCGGCCACGGTTTCCTGAAATCTCGCCGTCATCCATCTCTTGAAGGCATCCGCAGCCACTGGGTCCTTCGCTCGGATGTCCTGGTACCTCTCTTCGAGATCGCTCCAGTCCTTCATCACCTGAAACCGTTGTAGCACACAGATTTCGACTACCGACCTCCTGCGTCGTTCGCAGTGCCCTTATCACGCCTGCGGTAAAATATCCATCGAATGAGCCGAGGCTAACCAATTACCCCGATAAGAACACTCCATTAACCGCTCCCTGATATGGCCAATAAATCCGAGCTATCTCGAAGAAAAAAGGAAACCCTAGTAGCACAAAATATTTCTCCTATATTTTCTATATATTTAACGAATATCGTACATTTTGTAAATGTTTACCAGACATTTGAAATATTTGCAAAACGGTTACTTTAGAATATTATCTCTGTAATATTTATATAATATTACCTCCATGTGTTTTCATAATATTTTTTAAATATTATCTGCCGAATGCATTGTAAACGTTTTATAAATATTTAAAATCAAGATCATACGTTTTGCTCGCATAATGAAATAGCGGAACGAAAATATTAGAAAAATCTCTCGTGTTTTCTGATACCGAATGAAGTGTCCGATAATAATCGTGAAGTAAACTTAAAATAACATTCCGAAGTCGAATATACGTGAGGAATATTTTCTAACTTCTTTTCTATATTCTATGAATATTTTATTCTGTCTGGGTTATAGGTAATCTCTTTTTAATGTCGATTGGCGGTTCCTTGTTTTTTGAGTCAAACTCGTTAACGAACTTGCATATTGTGCCGCTCCGACTTTAACCCTTTCAGCGCTAAGCCCTTTTGACGTATGGGCGAATTTCATCCGGGCGTACAAGCAATATTCGACCAAACGTCGGACGCACTTATGGGATCATAGCCCTGAAAGGGTTAAGTGCTCATTCGTTGGATACTTCGGTCCACTTAGAAGGGCGGTATCCCAGGTCGATCTCTCCGATTTCATTTCTTTTATAATATGTTATAGTAGACTAAAAAGTAAGCTACACGTATTTTTTTTTATCTGCCATTAAACACTTTAAGGGGGTGAAACCACCACCCAAAGTAGGGCATGTCAAGGGGCGATTTGCCAGTTTCACCCACAAGAACATAATATTGTTTAACCAATCCATCTGGAAGAGCTTTCTCATAACGAGAAATGAATAATATAATTTCCTCAATTAAAAAAAAAAATTAAGGGGTGAGCCACCCCTAAACATGATTAAGTTTATGCAAAGAAGTGGTCAAATTCAAGTGGAAAAATCTGAAAAAAATATATGTTTTGTATGAACACGAAGAAAATACGACGTGTCTTTGGATCTTCATGAAAAGAAATATTGGCCGGGGCAACTACCCCCGAACGCTCACCCCTTAATTCTTTTCTTCTTTTAATTGAGAATTTTCATTTCTCGTTACGAGAAAGCTTTTCCAGGTGGATTGGTTAAAAAATCTGACATTAAACACTTTAAGGGGGTGAAACCACCACCCAAAGTAAGGCATGTCAAGGGGCGATTTGCCAGTTTCACCCACAAGAACATAATATTGTTTAACCAATCCATCTGGAAAAACTTTCTCATAACCAGAAATGAAAAATATAATTTCCTCAATTAAAAAAAAAAATTAAGGGGTGAGCCACCCCTACATATGATAAGTTTATGTAAAAAAGTGGTCAAATTCAAGTGGAAAAATCTGAAAAAAATATATGTTTTGTATGAACACGAAGGAAATACGACGTGTCTTTGGATTTTCCCGAAAAGAAATATTGGCCGGGGCAACTACCCCCGAACGCTCACCCCTTAATTCTTTTCTTCTTTTAATTGAGAAAATTATATTTTTCATTTCTCGTTACGAGTAAGCTTTTCCAGGTGGATTGGTTAAAAAATATTATGTTCTTGTGGGTGAAACTGGAAAATCGCCCCTTGACATGCCTTACTTTGGATGGTGGTTTCACCCCCTTAAAGTGCTTAATGGCAGATAAAAAAAAAATACGTGTCGCTTAGTTTTCAGTCTACTATAACATATTATAAAAGAAATGAAATCGGGGAGATCGACCTGGGATACCTTCCTTGTTAGATGGGGGAATGAGGAATCTCTCTAATGTTTCCACTTACCTTAGTGACCTTTTCCTTGTGCACTTCCTCCAGCCTCATTTGGGCCTGCTTGTAGCTCTGATGCTCGGATCTGGGGTCAAAATGTGTGAGGTAAGGATCAGGGGTGCCTTGCGGCTGAGAAGGTTGCTGAGTGCTCGAGCTCGCAGGAAGTGGCATTGCGGTTGCTTCCTGTCTGGCCTTCTCCGTCGAGGAAACCGTGGTCGCCGGTCGACTGTGCGAAAGCAAAATAAATAAACATCGATTCCACCGCGATCGCCAATATTCCCGATTTATCTCCCCTAATCATCTCCCAGTCAGAAAGAAACTAAACCGGACTCTTCCTACTATTCCATACAGTCCATGTTTAAATTATTAATTACCCTCGTTAAGGTGAAGCGAAACACGTCGAGGAACTTGATCTACGTCGATAAAGAAGATTTTTCTAAATACCTACGTTGCCGAAGGTCATTTTTATATTGACAGCTGGGTCGAATATATTGGGTATTGTACCAAATGGCATACTCCACTTGTCGTTTTCGTACAATAAATATCAAGAAATAGAACAAAAACTCCAGAAATCCTCTGGATTCGTGCTTTCTGGGACCCTAATTGACTGTAGAGGGACCCCCTGCGCCATCTGTGATTTCCAGGTCAATTAAATTTTCACTCCGAAACCTCGTATTCTCATCGTTTTAGCTTAGAAGCGCATAAAACACTTTTTTTTTTGCTTTTATCCCGTTCAAATGCGAGTTTATCGATTACCAAAGTGTTCTAAATAGTCGTAAAATTGTCCTGACCCTTTCGATTCTCATATCAGAGTCTTCGATAATTGTATATTGATCGAAATATGAAAGCTCGACGCCATTTTGGTTCTGGTCTGGGCTGAGTAAAAAAATTTTGTTAAAAAATGCAAATTTTGAACGTGCCAGGACAATTCTTAGATGATCAGGAGTGATGTGCCAAAGTTTCGGAGAGTTCGGTCTAATACCCTTAAAAAAAAGTGTTGTATTCGAATCCATTGATTTGAAGGGGTTTCACTTCACCTTAAAAGGCCACTTGGATCAATTTGAAGCAATAGCACCGAGTCTAATGTGTAACAAATACATCCCATGACTATTGTTAGCCAAAGCACGCATCTCATCGATTTTCTAAGAGCATTTCTAGGTCCTGCCATGAGATGTAGTCCTGTCCTTATCGTTTCGTCCCTTTCCGAGCAGAGATTCCTCCCTGGATTACTTCATCCTCTCAATTTATCTTGATTTGTAGAGCAATAAATCCCACTTGGGTTTAACTCCCTAATAAACGATTTCAAGTCTAACCGAATTAGGTCCTAACTCGTGTCTAACTCCACCGACCTAGTGGTAGTATCATAATCGTCCAGATACTCTTCATCGCTCTCCTCTTCATCAGGCTGATCGCTCAGAACATCCTCCAGCTCGGCATCCGAGTCGTCCTCTTCGTCAGCCTCTCCGTCGAGGTCATCCTCGTCGTCCAAGTCGTCCTCGTCCTCGTCGAGGTCCTCGTCGACGCCCTTAGGTATAGGCAGGTCGATCGGCTTCTTCGGCTTGACATTTTCTGCAAAAGAAACGTCATTTAACGTAATTTCACGAAATTTCGCTAAAGCTTACGAAGGGACCCTAGTAGCACAAAATATTTCTTCTATATTTTCTATATATTTAACGAATATCCTACATTTT